ATTCTATGATTCTATGATTCTATGGTGCTGTAATTAATTACCATCATCTTACCGAATTGGTTCTACTGCATGCCAAATTTTTTCTCCAAAAGCTCAAAGTTAGCAGCCAGCATACCAGATATTTTGTAGGGTGGGTAAGACATAATCTAGCTGAGCTTGCTGTTTAATTCATACAAATAACAGAAAGTAAGGCACTGGTTTGGGGACTTGGCTACATAACTGCAACCAAAATACAGCACTAAATAAGATGAAGGATGAGTGTAAGCTGCTGGCCTGGAATTCAGGGGAACTGATTTCATTTCTACTCTCTGCTATGCACTTTGTGACAATACTGTGCAGATCACTTAACATCTCGGTGCTTTATTTCCCTATCTGTAAAGCAAGGAAGTAAAGGCTATTAAAACTTTAGGGTTTAGGGGTCAAGGGGAGTTTTACTTGGAGTTTATGATTGCTCGCACAACTTGTACTGGCATGAAAGCTAATATCCCACCAAGGCCATGAGGAGGCTGGTGGCAAATGTCTTCCATGAGGAGTCTTTCTTCTGGAATACCCTCACATGGTTCATCACAGAGTTTCACTTTGAAATTGTAAGATTGACCCATTTTTGCTGGCTTTTGGAGAAGGACAGGTTGGAGGGCTGTGATGAGCTGGTTAATTTTTGCAGGTTGTGGTGTGGGGGGAAATATTTTTTATGGTGAAAAATGAATCTTTTTCCCCTCTCTGTAAAAACACTTTGCACTGTAACAAGTGATTCTTTTAAATAATAAGAAAGACAGGCTATCTTATAAGCCCTTCCAAGAATTGTTATTTTCACTGAACACCTTTCATTAGGATTGCTAAAGATAAACCGTCTGCTTCTTTGTATCTTCACAAAAGCTTTTAAAAGTGTAGACTTATATCTGCAGGAAACAACTATTATTAATGAAGCAGCTGGATTTCTTTTTAAATAGGTTACTTTGCAGCCATTTGCTCTGCTAATTATTAACAGAAATGCTGATGATATATCTACAGTGCTTTGGGATGCTGAATATTAGTCCTTTTAAAAAGCGTTTTAGAAGAATAAACCATATCTGAAGTGTGAATTGAAACTGTAAAATAATATACATGGAAACCAGCTGCAGAAATGATTAGCTCACATTTCCCCCCAGCAGTTTTGCCTACTGCAAAATATATCTGATGCAATGTGAGAAGTATTGCTTCACAATAACATCATAATTTTGCTGATGTCGGTTTCTGTTAAAGTATACTAATAAGTAGTAACTATTCTGATAAATAAATGCAGGTGAAGAATAATTGGAATATAGATATCATACTAGAGCAATTCAGAGAAAGGTAATTCTCTCTCATGAATTATTTCAGAATTTGGTTTTATTCTCTGCTATGAAATTCTGCGCACACACACGCACACACACGCACGCACACAGAGCACAGTTTCAGGCCCAGGCAATCTTCCTGGGCCACTGCTGAAAAATTACAGACCAGAGAAGCCCCAGGTACTCAAATCAGCGGCAGTCTGTCTGCTGCAGATGGATAGATAGATGAGCCAGAAAGGCAAGGGGGGTGATTTTTAAAACCTACCCAGTTTCTAAGAAGAACTTGATGATATCAAACCCTCCAGAAATATAACTTGATTTTGAGAGATCAGCAAATTCTCACCAGAAACTGTGGTGCTGGTGTGTTTCTGACAACATAGCAGATGTCTGTCATGTGTCTCGACAAAGGAAAATAAAAAATTATTTGGGAGAGTCAACGAAGAGAACAGCAGGAAATGCTAGAGAAAAAATACAATGGAACAATCAAAAGCAAAAGGAAGGGAGAAACAATGTCTAGAAATGTCTAAGATAATGGCTCTGATGTGTTCTCAGGGTAGTATCCTCTGTTCCAGACGCTCTTCTCCTCTTGTGGCTACCTCTTTTCTTGACCTGCTGTCAAACAGGTACTCTCTATATGACTTCCTCTCCCTCTCACTGATTTAGTCTTCTTTCTAAAGTGTTGCCCATTCTTTCCTTCCTGCTTATTCACTCTTTTCTCTTAGCAGTTCCTTCTTCCTGCCACCATAGAATCCTTGATCATCATAATCTAGATTTTCCTGCAAATATTTTCACAGCTCCTTGTTGAACACTTCTCCTTTGCACTTGGGATACCCTTGCAAACAAGTTCACAAAAACATAATCCCCCGATCCCCTGACCTGACCTTGCCTACAACCCCAACTTTACCATGCTGCAAGATGGCAATGGCAAGGCAGCGGGTTAGTAAGGACTGATATTTACTTTTTAAGACAAATTTGAAATACTTGACAATCAAATTATTCACACAGGGTCTTATGTCAGTGAGCCTCCAGAGCATTTCCAGGGGTTCTGTTAACAAAGAGACCATTTTAGGATAAGTTTAGCTTAGGGGGTCATACTTCCCTTCTGCTTTTCTAAGAAAAATTAAATACAATTGTGCCAACATATTATTCATGCTTTCTGTAGCCCTTCTTCAATGTTTATTAGTGATCTTTGGGGGTTAATTAATGCCAGGACATTTCACCCATAAAATGTTTTCTAATTCAATTTGTTAAATGCAAGTAACCATAAATAATTATAAATCAATTACTGAGTCTATTCTACACTTCACCAACCAAAAAAATCATAACAAGATATTTTTGAAGGTGATTGAGAAAAATGAACTGCTTCCATAAGGCTAGGCATTTGTGCTTCAATTTATCTTTTCCTTCACGAAAAGACTATTTGAAATACATTTTGCTAAATATGGGAACTACTTTTGTAGAAGAAATCAATTATATTCTTAAGTTCAAATCTTCTTTTTTTCCAGCTATGCTCTAATGTATCACTGTACCTTAGAAATGTACCCTGGGGAAAATGCTTCTATTCTTCACTAAAAATCCATGAATAACATTATGTAGAAATTAATTTATGATAAATGATTTAAAATCTTAACCTAGAATGGAGTCTTATTCAAATGTCATCAGAAAATGGCACCTCACCCGCAGAAAGGAGTCAAGGGATCCATTCTCCATGTATTCAACTACAATCATTACTGGTCTGCCTGCAAAACAGCAAAGAAACACATTAGGATTATAGACATATTATGGGCTTTTTATAATTCCAACTGTTATGCACAGACTATTCACAGTAGTTAAATATATTACCCATTTTCAAAATCCTCATTTATATCACAAACACAATTCCCTGTGTTATTCTCTAAGAATGATTTTGAATGATTTTCTCTTTTTTTTTTTTTTTTTTGTGGTGCTGGATTAGCTGAATGTGCATCGTTCGTTCTGGTGTATTCTCCCCTTCAAAAAGGATCAAAGAAGAGCCTGCTATTTCCAAATAGCAACACTTGCTGCGTAACATTTTGGAATATATTTGAGTTAAGGTGAAAAAAAAATATTCATAAGCCATGTCCAAGAAATTACAAACTCAGTGCCATTATTTTCCTCTCAAAGAAAAATATCTCAATGATTTAGTGGCATACAGATAGACAGATAGAAGGGGATGTCACAAAAAAGCACTCCTAGATTGGGTGTGTGTATTGGGTGTGTATAATCCAGAAAAACTCTGAATTCATATGTTTGTACATACATAACATATGCACAATGTTATTGAAATCAAAGTTTTGCTCAACTAGCACAGTTTTCCTGTATGGTTCCAGGGTGGGATCATATCCAAATTGAAGTAGAATAACATGTTACATTTAGTTCTTAAAAGAATATCCAAAACTGAAGATAAACTTTTAAACTGGGTAGTTAACTAAACACCATTTCACTGCTGATACCCAGAAATAACCTACCGCTCTAGAAGTGCTTGACAGGAGAGGCCCAATTAGCATGCTAATCAGGCTACGCAGCAAGAAGTTTTTTAGAATTGTTAATATTACAAAGGAGCCATTCTAATATATGCAAAACTAATGTAATGAATAAGAACGTTGGTAAGATTGGGAAGGAGATAAGAAGTCCTAAAATGGCAAACTTTTCTTTCCCTGAGAATGCCTGTCTCTTTCAGGGTTTGTGTGAAACCAGGGTGTGCCAAGTGGTGACACCACAAGACCGCCCATTTCACTTTCTCAGTACAACACTAGCTGTTCCAACATTTTTCAAACCCAGAGGAACCCTCTTTCATGACTTTTGTTTCTCTGCCTCTCAGATTATTCTTGTGTTTTATTTGGATGAGGGGATGAGAAACAAACAGGGTGTTGAGGGTGAGAAAGTGTAGAAGGGCATCATGATGGTTCCAGCACAATTGTCCATTTCTGTACATGCTAACTTTCTGTTCAGTTTGGTTAACAGTGGAGGTGTGTATTAAACTGTCCACAATATACAATAAGCCCCAGCCAGGTATTTCTCCTGAGCTGTTACAGCTAACCTTGAATTTAAAAAAGTGAATGAGCCGTTTCTCTGTTCCTTCCCAGCGTGTCGACTTGTTCCAAGTACCCTGGTGATGCTCATTCACGTAGTTTAATCTAGTCTTTCTGGAGTTCCTCACAATATTCTCTCATTTCTTCTAATAAAATTTGGGGTTCTTTCTGTATTCACCCTCATGTTTAGGTCCTCAATGAATAAAACAGTGCTTCGTAAAGTTGGCACAGTAGTACATTTTTTTCTGTGTGAAAATTCTCAGATGCCTTAATAGTCTATTTGGATAGCCTTTCTGAAGTGTGAAGAATTACCAGCTTCTTTTTTTTTTAATTGAATGTTTGGTCTCAGCTGCAGATGTATATCTGCCACCAAATCAATTTATATTCGTCTGCATCCATTGGTTATACCTGGTTTTGCATTATAAGCTTAAACGATATATCACTTTTAAGCTCTTAGAGATCACAGCATTTTAAAAATTAATGTCTTCTTTACTTCAGCTTGCTAATGATGACTAGTTGTATAGCCTAGTCTCTTTAGTTTCAAGCACATGAATGACCTAGATTCCCTTACTTTTACCATTTGCTTACTGTCAAGGGGCTGACATCTCCATGTGAGAGGAATATTCTATAATCTGGAGAAGTAAACAAACGGCAGACTGATGCTAGAGGATCTAGCAGAACTCTCTCAAGCAAGTAGTAATTTCTAAATTGTTGCAGGCAACAGCATCTTGCAATAAATAGGGATGTAAAGCTGGCTTTCAGATGGTATATTTGGTCAAGCATAAGTTACCCAGAAATGTCTCTTTCTGGGTAAATCAACAACTACAACACCTTTATGAAAGATTTGCATTTGAAGGGAATGAGAAATGGAGCTATTGAGCTTCAAAAAGTGCCCCTAGTTTTCTGTTAGCAATCCTTAGGTGCCCTATGCTTTCTGGAAGCTATTTTGCAAGGTTCTCTAGAGGTTCATAGGCTCTCGTTACATCTTTTATACTCCTTAGATTCATATCCTTCAACGCAAATTATTTTCACACTTATTTTGTAAAAGCAACTTTTAATTCTTCTACGTTCTCTCACAAAATATTCCCTCCTCCAAAAAGCCCCCAACAAAATGTACTTCATTTTGCTCAGACCAACAGTATGAACTTCTAGGCTAAAGTAACTATGAAATGTATCTATATGCATTTATCTGTGGATTTAAAAAAGAGATTTCAGTATTTTTCACTGGATAATGTTTATGAGTTTTTAAACTGCTCGCTGTGTTCCTTTAATCACTTGCAATGATACGCCTTAACACAAAACCAGCTCTCCCACATGATAGCATAGGAATGGCATGATCTGGTAAAGATACCCAAATAAGTAGCATTTGTCTTCAAACAGGTCGCTGTATATTGGAAGATCAGCATATCATTAAGTATTCAGGAATTTTGGTGAACAATAAATTTAGTCACTTAGGCTGATAGCTTCCCACAGACTCAGTCTGTATCCCTCTCCATTCTACCTAAATCTCAAATGAACTTGATGCAAGATTGCGTCAAGACACCACAAAAATGAACCCAGCTCCATCGCTTGATTATCTTAAGCAAAAATCTTAAATCTGGATCCTAACACTAACTTCTCAAATAATCTTTTAGTGTGCCAGCACTTGAAAAAAGCCATCCTAATTTGGCAGCAAGTTTAATGTATCACTGAAGATATTTATGTATTCCAAGCTGGACTGTAACAGGCAATATAATGAGACTTTTAGTCAGCATAGTATTTGTCTTTGGAGTACCTGTAGATCAAAAATGTCTCAGCTCTTGTTTAGGTTGCTTGAGGATATAGTAAAAAAATCTGCTACACAACAGATTCCAAGGGGTACATTTATCATCAAAGCGGTAACACACAGGTTCTATTCCCAAAATTATTTTCCAATAATTTTATAGGTTTACAAATTTCATGCAAGGATTTCTAAACATTTTACAAATGTAAGTACATCAAGTGTCAGGAAATGTAAGGTAGGACACATCTTGATTTCAAAGGTGTGGTAGGAAAAACAGGTTCAGAAAATCAAGTGGCCCTCTCCATCTAGTCAGTATAGTATATCCAACCAGCTGTGTTTGTTTACGAATACACAATGTTGTATTTTCTTCTCTAGCTCAGTACCCTGTAGAGGCACCTAAGTGCCACTGTGTCTTCATGTTGCATGAACAGACTCTCCAGTTCATAAATGGTTGAAGGAATGGGACTAGCAGTCGGCTCTGGAGAAGCTGGCTGAGACACGAGGATGAGCAGCTGACTTCACATCCAACTGGAGAATCCAACATTGGGCATCTCAGTCCAGAGACCAAGTCACCAGTCCCAAGGGCAGGCAATGGGAGAGACTGGACTGTCCCCTGTGAAAAACATAGATCCTGATGTGTTTAGCTGTTGCGCTCCATCAGTTCTAGATCTGGGAAGCAAACTCTGAAAGCACAGCTCTACTTCTGATACCCCTACATGTAACAGAACGCAATCTGGGAGGCCTAACCTCCAAAGGGCCAGAGGATGGCAGCCAACCCAGAGCTTGTATAGAACAAAGTTCTTGGTAAGACAAAAGGCTATGGATGACATTAGTTGATGTTAGTTTCCTTTTTAGCTGCAAAGAGCAGATGTTATCCTTGATACTGTGGTACAATTTGAGTCCAGAAAAGATAAAGGTCTGTGCTGAACCCTGTACAAACATAGAATACTGGTTTTGCTTTAAAGAAGACTACAGCATTGACTTTGAAAAATAATACTGGGAGATTTTTAAACTAGTGTAATGTTTGCCTCTAGACAAAAAAAAAAAAAAAAAAGGAAAAAAGACTACTACTTATATTATGAAAATCCATGTTGCTCTCACGGCACTAAGAAAGATGAATTCTTCATCCTCAAAACAAGGACAGGAATGAAAAAAGGAGCGGGGGGCAGATAAGTCTCGGAGAGGGAGAAGCTATCTTTGATTATTTTATCATGGGGTAGGCTAATGCAATTCCGGAAGGCATTGAATTATTTTCCTATATTTATGATTGCTTACACATATGAAACATGGACACCTTTGCTTGAAGAAACAAGTTGAAGGATAAACAGCAGTGGGAGCTGATACAGATGGGAGCCGGGAAAGCACTCAGGGCTCAGAAGGAGGCACTGGCTGCAGCACAGAGACAGCCGTGCCAGCGCCGCATGAGCCTGCTACATGAGCACCTGTGGGAACTCTGTACAGGCAAGACAGCATGCACCAAAAGGCACTCCTGCGACCGATGACGCAGTCCCCTCTGCGGCATGGATGCACCTCACCAGATAGCTGGACACCGAGACTCCAGTTTAAAGACTTGACCACTTCAGGTGAGTGTTTTCACACAGATACAGGCATAGGCACTAGACAAGTATCTGAAGAAGAACTGGGTTAATTTTACAGTCAAGATCCACATAAGAAAAGGCACGGAAAAAGGACACTGAAAAAGGTGTCAGCTTCGGCTGGGGACTTGAAGTAAAAAACAGAGGTCAAGAGCATCTAGGACCTGAAAACTGCAGATACTGCTGGAGGAGAGCACACAATTTCATGTTTGAATTGGGGGTAGAAAAAATATAAAAAGGTTTGAAGATGGATTCAATGATCAAAACAGCCAAACAAATCATTCTTGCAGCAGCTTTAGATACCCAGCAGTGCTGGAGTAAGGAGTATGGCA